CCAACCTTCCTTCTGAGGAGTGGCTGGTGGGTTTGAACCACCAGCCTTCTGGTTAGTAGTCAAATGCTTTAGGCACTATGCTACCAGAACACCTAATATTTGTCATAGCATTACAAAATTGTAATTTTTACCTTAAATAATTATATGTATTTTAAAAGAATTAAGAGTGAAAACAGATCATGTTTTGTATTTATTCATACATTTACCATTTCTGGTGTTTTTCATTCCTTTTTGAAGATCTATTTCTATCCTTCAGTCCGAAGAAATTTTATCATCATTTCTTCCAACATAAGTCCAGTACTGGCCCTTTCTTCCAAATATTCACTTCCTCTAGTTTCTTTCCTCTTGTAATGACTCTCCAGTACTTCAAGAGATTTGGGTATTTTATAAATTATTTTTTGTCCAGAATTTATCATTGTTCCCTGCAAGAAAGTTGGTCTATTAAAAGCTAATGCTATGATTGATATTATTACTATTGTATTATTTGTCATAATAAATTATTTTAATAAATCTTTTATTTGTCAAATAATAGAGATAATGATAACAAACACTTAATATTACCAGATACCTGTCTAAATAATGTTCAGATGTTAATTCAGTAATCCTCACAACAACTACATGTGAGGATTTCATTTTTAAGAGAGTCTTCATAATTTCTGGCCCAATTAAGTCTTCTCTTCCTAGTTCTCAGAATAGGTGAGGTTTATTTTTCTGGCCCAGATTTTTAGATGATGAAATTATTCACAGAGAAGTTAAGACACTTGACCAAGGTCACATTGCTAATCAATGGCAGAGTCAGATTTCAAGCCCAGGAAAATAGCTCTAAAATGAGCTCCAAGCGTTGTGACCATGCAGTAAGATTGGAATTCTCATACATTGATGGTTTGAGTGCAAATCATTTCTGGAAAACAATTTCTCGGCATATGCCAAGACCCTTATCAACGTTCACCACATTTTACCAATAATTTTACTTCTGAGAGTCTCTGTAAATCACCTGATTTCCAATGGAAGATTTATATCAAAGGTGTTTTTATAGAAGTATCTGTAATGGAAAGGAGTTCTGGTGGTACAGTGATTGAGGCATTTGGCTGATAACCAAAATGTTGGTGATTCAAACCCACTAGCTGCTCTGCAGGAAAAGGACGAAGCAGTCTGCTTTTGTAAAGATTTACAGCCTTGGAGACCCTGTGGGGCAGTTCTACTCTGTCCTATGGGGTCTGTATGAGTTGCAATGATTCGATGGCAGTGGTGGGTATCTGTAATAGAAAAAAATAAAAAACTGAAAGCAATAAATGTTCAAAAACATTGGAATCAGTAAAATATATCCAGAGTCTGGAATACTATGTGAGTCTTTAAAATAAGATGGAACATTTGTAATGATACCTTTTTTAAGAAATCAAAATTCAGTGATAAATATTCAACTTGTCCACAATCGTGTAAAAGGTTATACAAAGAATGAGAGAAATTTCACCAAAATGTTAACAGTACTTATCAATGGTTGGTATAATCATAGGTGAGTTTTTTTTCCCTGTAAGTTTCTGTATTATTTACTTTTTAATAATAGTAAATCAGTTTTACTTTATGATTAGAAAACAGATAAATATTTTTATAAACCTATGCTTCTGTATCTCCTACAGGAGCAAAGGCATTCTGAAAAATACTAACACAGCTCACTGACTATTTAAGCAAAATATAAAAGATGAAATGGAAAAATAGATCATATTTTACACAGAAGGCCCATGTATTTTAGACAGTTTCTTAAAGATTTATTTAAATTACTGAATTTTACTTTTAAGATAAAAAAGAACAATAAACATTTGTTCTCTGCTATACAGTAAAAAAATAATTTTCTCATTTGAGCTTAACAAATACCCTATAAAGTAGATTTTATCATCACCACTTTAAGGAAAATGATTTTAGGATTGGGGGGAGAATAAATGGCTTGTCTAAAATAAATTAACTAGTAAAAAGTGGAGTTACACCACAAGATTTTCTAAGGAAAATAATTTTTCATATGACCTATACATGATTATAAAATTTCAAAAATTTGTTTATCCTTCCATTATTCAATAAAAGATGGCTAACCCACCAAAATTTAATATATTAAATAGGGACATTCTCTACGCTGTCTATTATATTCCTTATCATCTCAGTTTTGTACTGTACTCATGTTGTCCATCTCTCTCTATCATTAGCTTTTCATCATGAAATACTCATGCCCTGAGGTACCACTGAGACCAGTGGTCTCACCAGGAGAGACCGACCTGAGGATAAAGGAAATCTTGAAGAAATTAAACCAGCTGATCCCACCCAGACCTTTCCCCCACATGAACACCACCACCAGTGCAGCACACAGTAGAGTCATAGTGCTCAACCCCCGAGACACCTACTGCAGGGGGGAGCAGCTAGACCTCCTACTGGAGGCAAGGGACCACCTGGGACGCAGGAAGAAGTATGGTGGGGATTTCCTGAGGGCCAGAATGTCTTCCCCATCCCTGAGGGCAGGCGCTTCAGGAGAGGTGATTGACTTCAACAACGGTACCTATCTTGTCCGCTTCACTCTGTTCTGGGAGGGTCAGGTGTCTCTATCTCTGCTGCTCATCCACCCCAGTGAAGGAGTGTCAGCTCTCTGGCGGGCAAGGAATCAAGGCTACAACAAAGTGATTTTCACAGGCCAGTTTTCCGGTGGCACTGTCCATGTCAATACTGATTGTGCCCTGGTTTTAAACTCAAGTGCTGAACTATGTCAGTACCTAGATGCTCAAGACCAAGAAGCCTTCTACTGTGTGAGACCTCAACACATGCCCTGTGCTGCACTCACCCACATGCACTCCAAGAACAAGGAAGTTTCTTATCTTAGCAAACAAGAAAGGAGACTCTTTGAAAGGTAAATTATTTCTGGAGACTGCTTGTGCAAATATGATGTTACCTACATGTTGATCTAAATGAAAGTCTTCTCAGGATATCAATGTTGAAACTCTTTATGAAAAGCCATTTGAGAAAGGATCTGTGAATTGATTTGGAGACTGTGCCCACTATTTGGTGATCCTCAAACTTTTTGTATATTTCACCATTATCATTGGAGGGAAAAAAAAAACACTTATCATTGAAGCACAGAAATAAAAATTTTAAAAGGGTAAGAAATAGATAAGTGTGTATATTCTTTCTGTATCTAATAAATCACCTTGTATACCTAGTAAATGTCTACACCCCATGTACTAATAAGCAAAGAGATGAAAATTTACTCAATCACCTGAATCTGTGGGCATAACATATCTCTAAGAAATAACTAAAGCTGGATAATCAGGCTTCTCTTGTTTGCTGGTATTTTGGGCTGCCTGCAGATTAATTTCACTATTTGTCTCTTTAAGGTCAAATGTGGGTGTAGAGATTATGGAAGGCTTCAACTCCATTCATGTCTGCAAATGTAACAGTAAGTTCTCCCTGTGCTTGGTAGGTGGTGCTTAGTCCTGTTGTTGTTAGCAGCTATCAAGTTGGCTCCCAACTCATGGTAACCCCATGCACAATGGGATCAGATCACTGCCCTCTGTGCTTACTAGTAGATCTCTGCAAAAGCATTTCCTTTTTATAATGAATTTGTTCACTATACTCCATCCAATAGGTACCTGTCAATCCGACTCATTTAAGGTAGGTCAAAATACCAGTTGTTCTGGTTACTTAGTGCTGCTCTGACAAGAAAATATACCACAAATGGGATGCTTTAACAAACAGGAGTTTATTTTCTGACAGTTCAGGAGGCTAGACATCCAAGTTCAAAGTGCCAGGCTCTAGGGGCTGGGTGAAAGCCCCTCAACCTTGGGGTCCAGCTCTGCCTCCTGCTCCCAGCCCACTGGAGCTAGAGGTATTTCTTCACTCAGACAGCTGCTGGCTGCTGAGGCTGAGAAGCACCAAGGTTGACAAGTAAAAAGGCACAGTCCCAATGTTACCAAACCACATGGCAAGCCATTAACTTAAGTCCGTTGTAAGTCCCAAGGTTGGCAGAGCATAGCAGGCTGCTGAACAACAACACGGCTACATACAGGGTCCAAGCGTGCCATAGGCTAGAGACCATTCCCAAAGCTTCTACTTAAATACAGGAAGCGGACCACACACCCAAAGGCAACTACTTAGCTGCTCACAGTAGATTCCACCATGGAGTTGATTACCAGTCTCATGGGGAATAACTACCACCAGCTGCCCAGCCACTCAACCAGGTCCAGCCAAGTTGACACACAAACAACCACCACACCAGTTATCTAAATGAGTGAAAAAATGTAACCCCTAGGATATCATAAACCTCTTCTACTAAATGTAACTCTCATCATCAATCTACTTAAACAGATTACCTGCCTATTTAACACAATAGCCTTCAAATGTCAATATGTCTTCCCAATTCTACACATAGTTCTCTACCTCTCCACACTACTGCCACTTATCACACCACCATCTGCACCATTACTACCATCACCACCCCTCACACCACACATCCTCACACTGCCACCACCCCATCACCGTGTCCCACACCACTGCTGGCCCGAGAATCAGGATCTAGGGGTTTCCAACATCTTCATCTTTGCTGTCTTTCCAGCAGTTTTAACATATAGCAGTACTTTCAGTTACGTTTGCTAATTTCTCTTTAATTTCTTTGACTCCTTGAAGCCGAGGAATGAGTTATGGCAAGAGTTTTTGTGTCCCTGGAAGTTCAGTATTAACAGCTTGCTAATCACTAATAAATCTATTCACACTGAAATGTAAATATGTGCCTAGAGGTAGAAATGGTATTTTTTTCCACTGAAGATATATAGGTGCATTCATACAAGTTGTTAAAATATTAAACTACTTCCCTTTGGTGGAATAATCCAATAATAATCACAGCCCCAAGCCCACCAAGGGCTCTTCACCATCCTAGCATCTATCTCTTGGACTCAGATTTCAAACCCTTCATAAACCAGTGACTAACAGGCCTGATACACCCTGAACCTCCAGGACCCTGCTGGTTATGGATAGCCATATCCATTCAGATTGACCAGTTCCCAAGCAAAAGCAGTTATTATTTTTTTTTTTAATCACCCTGCCTTTAACTCAAAAGATTTACAGTTTTGCAGTGGCATTTAAGACACTGTAACAGAGTGTGGCAAGCTTTGGGAGTGAAGTGGCCTAAAATGATAGCATAATTTAGCATTCTTTACTAAGCAAGAATTGATGGTCTTACTTCCAAAGAAAGGCAGACAAATATTTTAAAATTTACCCAGAAAGTAATATTTTCCTTTTCTGGGAGAAAACATCTGCTCTTACAATGAGCATTAAAAGAGCTCCTTTAGAAAAAATAACTTCAGAGGAAAATTCTACTGAAAGATAGCTATCCCATTAACAGGATGCTTCAGTAAGACGTTTCCACCACTACAACCACTTCTCCTGTAGGCTCTTAGTAAATACATATTGAAAATTTGATGTTTTATAAGATTCTATCTTTTGATTCTTTGACAGAAAAAGTAGTTCCAAAGAAAGAGAAATGCAAGCTTGGAATGACATCAGTGGTCCCCAGTGGACATGTCTGGAAAGACACATGGAATCCTGTCTCTTGTAGCTTGACTCCCATCGAAATAAAAGAATGCCTGAGAGGAAAATTCATATATCTCATGGGAGATTCCACAATTCGCCAGTGGATGGAATACTTCAAAGAGAATATCAACAGTATGCCTTAGTCTAAGCTATTAATGACATCCCTTTGGAAAATTCTTTTTCATTTCAGGGAAAGAAAGGAATATGAGAAGCATCCTTTCTTTTTCATATTCCTTAATCACCACACACTAAAATTTTTCACAAGATACCGTTATAGTTCCTTTAAAAAAAATACATTTATCTGACTGAGAGGGAGTCAGTGAAGAAAAAGGTTTATTACATTCCTATCCCTGCAGAATACACACTTTGCTGTTTACCCAACATGCTCAGAAAATTATTGATAGAGCTGAAAATTTTTGAAGATATTATATTGTCCACTTTCCACTACATGGCATGATGATTAAGGGTGTGGATTACAGATCCAAACAGCCTGTTTTTTTTTCCACATACTATCTGAGTGGCCTTTCTGACCCACAGTTTCTTCATCTGTAAAATGGATATGAAATTAGCACTCACTTGGTAAGATTATCCTGAGGATTAAGTAAGGTAATATATGCAAAGCATTTAGAATACTGTTGTTGCAGATAAGTTCTCTATACCAAAAAAATCAAACTCACTGCCATCAAGTCAATTCCGACTCATAGTGACCCCAAATGGGTTTCCAACGCTGTAAATCTTTATGGAAGTAGATTGCCCCATCTTCCTTCCATGGAGCAGATGGTGGCTTTGAACCACTGACACTCTGATTAGCAACCAAATGCCTTGTCCACCATGCTACCAGAGCTCCTTTTAAGTTCTCTATAGGTGTAAGCTATTGTCATTATTCAATGAGAGGGAAGATGCCACAAGTGAGGTGATAACATTGCATTAGGTAGGCACAGTGGTTAAAAATATGGGCTTTGGAGTCAGACATACCTAGGCTGTGCTGCTTAGAAACTATGACCTTAAGTATATTATTTATTTTCTTTGTCTCGTTTTCCTCACCAGTCAACTAGGAATAATAACAATATCTGGTAGTTGTTAGGAAGATTAAATGAGGTAGTAGCTATAAAATATTTCACACATTGCAAGTTACATAGCCATTTAGAAAATGCCCAATAAACAAATAAATAAAACCAGTTGCCATAGAGTCAAGTTGATCCAATTCGTGGAGACCCCATGTGTGTGAAAATGGAACTGTGCTCCCTAAGGTTTCAATGGCTGCTTTTTTTCCCCAAAATGTGTGATTTCACTTAATTATAAATGAGCATAAGATAGAATCATGTGGCCTTGGAAGCTAGCAATATAAATGAGAAACACGCTATATGCAAATTAAAATAAATGAACAAAACAGTATTAGGAATAACAACATAGTGTACAACAGGTATAATAAAATAAATTAACTGAGGCCAGAAATAATGAGAATTGAGAAAATATTTTTAGATTTGGAGCAAAATCTATCTTAGAGGTCCATTTAAGGACTATGGTAGAACATTTTAAACACGTTATTTTATTTCATCTTCCCAAAAACCTAGTGATATGAGTGGTATTTCCTCTTTTTCCTGGAAAGGAAATAAAAGTCTTGGTGAGTTAAGTGAGTTGCTCAAGGTCACACAGCTGGTTTATAACAGAATCTATTCTATGTTCCCTTCTCTGAGAGGCTTCTTCTTTCCTGGGATGATACTTGGATTATTCTGTGTCAACGGCAGATTTTTCAGAAGATCTCTAGACCTTTCTTCCAAAGTGTTTCTGGGTGGACTCAAACCTCCAGCTTTTCAGTTAGCAGCTGAATGTGTTAACTGTTTGAACCCAATCAACCATAGCTATTATAACTATTATTATTATTTTTAGTTAATGTCAGAGTTGGGACTACTAGAATCCTATTGCTCTTTTCTCTAAACCAAGAGTGTACCAATAATAATCAGAATCCTCTAGTAGATAGCAATCTGGCCCACAAAAGCATCACTGCCTACCCCTCCATGTCCCTATTCCCTGGACTCTTATCATGGAAGACAGTACAGCAGGTGTGGCCCTACCCTGGCCTTCCTGACATGAGGTCATTCATGTGATCTCAAACCTAGATGAAAACTATTCCTCCTTATAGAAAGTAAAATCAGTAGCATCCTGTCTCCAAATCCTGAGGGGGGATTCCCAACAGAAGGGGAGAATTTTAAATTGTAGCCTCTGGTAAATGGCCAAACTCCTCAGAACCTGTTTTTTCATGTGTAAAATAAGAGGATAACTTTTAGCCTCCTGATCTATAATGGTGGTTATATAAAGTATTGAATTACTGAGTGACTTGTCCACTTCAGTTTGTCTTTTAAGTTATGGTAGGAAAACATCTGCCGCATATTTTGTTAAAAGTGAAATCTATGGCCAGAGTGTACTTTGGAAAAGAAAAATGAAGTATGTTGAAATTAGAATTTAGAAAATAGTTTAGCCATTTCCCACTACCCCAACCCCACAAACCGAAAAATAACCAAACTTACTGCCATCAAGTCTGATCCTACTCATAGCAACCCCTCCTTGGGTTTCCAAGGTGGTATTACTACAGAAGTAGATTGCTCCATCTTCCTTTCAAAGAGCAGCTGGTGGGTTTGAACTGCCAGCCTTCTGGTTAGCAGTCAAATGCCTTAGACACTTTGCCACCAGGGCACCCACATTTTCAAATCTCATGGGGTTAAGACTTCAAATGTAGACCTTTAAGACTAAGATGGTACCTGTTACAAACTGTTAATAATTCTTTTCTAATCATTTTCCTCACAAGTTCTAGCTACAAAGCAGCTTCCCTTGATATTCTGACAAGAGTCTAGTTAGTGCAGTGAAAAGTGGAAGGATGACATTTTATATGAGTCATATTATTTTTATTTTCAAAAGTGTTAAGATCTAGTAGACTATTTTCACAAGAACTGGCAAGAACTTGAAGTCTAAGTGCTGATTCTGTCATTTAATAGATGTGTAACCTTGGGCAGGTTACTTCCCCTCTTGATTTTCAAAACAGAGCAATAATATGTACACAGAGAGAGCAAGAGCACTGAGGTGAATGAATACATCAGTCCAAATAAATGCTTTCTAAACTGTACTTTATAAGTATAAATACTATTATTATTACTACAGATGATGTACTCAGTACTTTTCCATGAATATGTAAGCAAAGTATGAAACACAGAATACAATCTCATTCTTAAGAAAACTGACAGAGTACTGGAAAATAGGTAGGTTTCTAGTTTTCTTCTTCTTCTTCTTTTTAATGTAAAGAACATCCAATAGTACATTTCTCTATCCTCAAATCAGTCTAGTCTACAGTTAGTAAAATGTACAAGAATTATACCTATGAAACTGACCACATAATTCCCCAATGAAGTTACTTCTATGTCTTACTATCACTAGTTCATTTGATAACACATGATTCTACAAAGGGCCAACATAATCTCTTACATTCATACAATGTTTTTGATCATTCAAATAACATTCAAAATTATTCCTTCATTTTAACTATAATAAATTAGACATGATAAACTTGTTCAATTATAAACACCAAATCTTTTCCTCTGTCTTTATGACTAGTCTATCCTGGTAACTTTATTCTCCTTTGATTTTTGGGACTGCCTATTTGTCATCAGCACTGAAGTCGGTGGATCTTCATGAATCTGGAAAACTTCAACATCAACTTGCTGTGGACTTCGATAGGAATATTAACATCCAGTGGCAAAAACATGGCTACCCCTTGATTGGATCACTGACCTACTCAGTCAAAGAGATTGAGTACATTGCCCGAGTCATTGACAGAATTGGAGGAGGAAAAAATACTATTGTTGTCATTTCTTTGGGTCAGCATTTCAGACCCTTCCCCATTGACGTTTTTATCCGAAGGGTCCTCAATGTCTATAAAGCTGTTCAGCATCTTCTTCTGAGAAGCCCAGACACTATGGTTATCATCAAGGCAGAAAACATCAGAGAGATGCACAATGATGCAGAGAGATTCAGTGACTTTCACGGCTACATTCAATATCTTGCCATGAAGGATATTTTCCAGGATCTTAATATAGGTATCATTGATGCCTGGGACATAACCATTGCATATGGCACAAATAATGTTCACCCACCTCAAACTGTGGTCAGAAATCAGATTAATATATTGTTAAACTATATTTGCTAGACAGCACACATCTCTGCAAGTCATTCACTTTATTAAAAAGAGTAAGTGCCTGCTAGCATGGCAAATGCTGTGTTTGACTCTCAACTTCTAATTAGCATGAGGTAATCAACTGCACTGTGGCTGATCCATGAGCCACAAATTCAATCAAGTCAGCTATTTCTAATCTGGGCTTCCACTTAAAAATGAAAATATTCAGTGGAATGCATGGCTAATTACCTCCATGAACAGCTGCCTGCTTTGCCACAAGAACTTAAAATCCTGATCAAAAGGGATAGAATGTGGAAGAGATTTCAAATTCTCACGGAATTCACACTTTCTGGAGCCACTGAGGCTGTATTAACCCCTGAAACTATTGCCCTGAGATAATCTTGAAACTTTAAATCAAACATACACTGAAGTAGCCCTTAAACCAAGCAATTTTGACTTAATTAGTAAAGAATGCTTTCCCTGAGTACTGTGCTTTTTTTAAAGAACTATATATGAGATCAAACTGACAACAGCAACTCAAAAAGTTAGATAAGAAGCTTAGAGGGCAGTGATTTTATGTTATTGAGGAAGGAACAATTTGGAAAAGGAAGTTGAGAATGGTTGTACAACTTCAAGAATATAATCAGTGTCACTGAATTATATATTCAGAAATTGTTGAATTCTTGTATGTACTGCCATGCATATTTTCAACAACCACAAAAAATAAAATAAATTATTTTTGAATAAAATGAAAATATTCACGGGAGCAACCAACTCTTCTTGGCCAGTCCCATGCCACTCCTCACAAATAGGAAGTCAAGCCTCCTATGGTGACCAATTTAAGTTCTTCTCTCTGGTGCATGGAAAATCAGAGCAATAAAGTAACTGTGAAATAAATATTTGGAGAACGCAGATCCGTTTCCTTATTTTTAGCACTAAAGATAAGCTCAAGATGACTTCCAGCTGGGAGGAGAAGGAGTCTTATGGGGCAGTTCTCAATAGTCCACAGTCCTGGAGGGTTGTAAACTTTCCAGTAAGTCTGTAAAGATCCTGAAAACCTTTGATTTTTCCTATATGAAATCTCACTGCCAGGAGCTAATGTGACTCTATGACATTTCTCCTTTAAGAATATAGGATAAAAGAATAGTGCACTAGAAGTCAAGGGAGCTGGCTCTGTCTCTGCCAGTAATTTTAAGACGTTGGCTAAATCACTTCAGTTCTCTGAGCCTCAGTTTCCCAAATGAAGGGGTTAGTCTATGATTTGTGATTTTCAAGGCTTGCTCATGCAGCTCTGGGTGCCATAGGTGGTACTTCAGATACCACCTTGAGGGAGAAGAGCAATGCTGAGTAGGCAAGTAGAGAGGTTCCTCTACCGCCTCTTCAGCCATCAGTCATTCTTACCTATTTGAGTATTGGACTTCTGGGTGACCTTTTGGTTTGAAGAAAATACTTAGAACATGTTTGAAAACCATTAGATAATCAACAGCATTGGTGCCCATAATCTATAAATGTAATCTAACATTTTAATCACTCTCACTTGCGTGTTAATAGATCTTCCCAAAATTTCACCAAAAAGGAGTGACTGACATGAGAATTTCAGTTGAATAGGGCAATATATATATTAAAAAAAAAAAAAAAAACACCTCACTGCCATAGAGTCAGTTCCGACTCATAGTGATCCCTCCTTGGGTTTCCGAGGCAGTATCTCTACAGAAGTAGATTACCCACTCTTCCTTCCGAGGAGTGGCTGGTGGGTTTGAGCCACCAGGCTTCTGGTTAGAAGTCAAATGCCTCAGGCACCATGCCACCAGAGCTCCCCTAAGGCAATATCTTTATTATAAAATAATTTGGCACCATATTTTTCCTTAATTTAGCACTCTTAACCTTGCTCCCATGAGCTCTGGTTGCATAGTGGGTAAGACATTTGGCTGCTAACCAGAAAGTCGGTAGTTCAAACCCAGCAGCCATTCTGTAGAAGGAAAATGGGGTGATCTACTTCTGTAAAGATTTGCAGCCTCAAAAACCCAATACGGGTTGCTAAGAGTTGGAATAGACTCAATAGCAGTGAGTTTGGAGTTTTTTGGAAACTATGGTCCAGATACCATTAGGCCCCTGACCTACTCTTGCTACATCTGGGGGGAAAAAAAAATTATAATAGGAACACCTTAAAAATGTTTTATTCAGTTTCCCCTGGGAAGGAGTTAATACACGTTTTTTTTAATAGTAAAAATTATTTAAAGTGTATGCATGGCTCCAACCAAAACTCACTGCCATCGAGTAGACTCTGACTCATAGAGACCCCCCACTGGGTTTCTGAAGCTATGAATCTTTTTTGTTTTTTAATTGTGATTTGGGTGAAAATTTACAGAGCAAATTCACTTCCCATACAGCAGTTCACATACAGTTTGTCTCATGACATTGACCACAATTCACCACAATGCAACAGTTCCCCTCCCATTTCCTCCCAACAGTCACCTCTTCTCTGCGTCCATCCCCCCATGCACCCCTGCCCCCTGAGTTGTCTCCCTGTGCATAAACAGCCCTTCTTTCTCCCATGATTGTTCTCTCCAAGGAGTGTATTTACCTCATGTTCAAGGAGTTAATCCACTTTGGATTTATTTTCTAATGATTCACAGTTTCTAGTTCAATGCCCAGTACACATAACAGGTGTCAAAAAATATTTACTAAGTCCCTATTGTATGCCAGGCACTGTTCTGGGCTTTAGAGAGACAGTGTTCAAAAAGACATTTGGAATCTCTCCCTTCAAAAAACATTTACACTCTAATAAAGCAAAAAGATAATGAGTAAACAAATAAATATATAAAATAATTCCATGCACCCAATCACTGCTAAAGTAGTATGAACAAAGGATGTAATAGGGTAATGTGACAAAGAATGATGGTATGATGGCATTTAGGTGATAAGTTACAGTGGTTCAAAAAGGCCTCTCAAAGAAGGTATTTCAGGGGAGGTCTAAACGATGGGCCCTGGTGGTGCAGTGGTTAATTACTCAGTTGCTAACTGAAAGGTTGATTGTTCTAACCCACTAGTCACTCTGCAGGAGAAAGTTGGGGCAATCTGCTTCCATAAATACTACATCCTTGAAAACTTTACGAGGAAGTTCTGTTCTGTCCTATAGGCTTGTGATGAGTCAGAAACAACTTGTTGGTAAGGAGTTGGTTTCTTTATCTAAATGATGGAAAGGAGGCAGCCATAAAACAAAATGGAAGAAGAGAGATCCTAGACAAAGAAGAGTAAATGCAAACCTTCAAAACATGATCTAATTTGCTTTGTCTGAAGAACAGAAACAAGACCAGTAGCCATGGAGCAGTCTATGAGAGAGAAGAGGCTAGAGAGGAAGATGTATGGCCTGGTAGCCTATGGAAGTGGATTTGGATTTTATTAAAATTATAAAAAGAAAGCAGTTTAGGGAGGAAGGAAAGGAGAAAGGGAAAATAGGAGAGAGGATGGGAAGGAAAGGAGGAAAAAGGGAAGGAGAGAGGGAGGGACAAAGGAGAGAAAAAGAAAGGAGAGGGAGAGACAAAGGAAGGCAGGAAAGAGAGGAAAAAAGGGAGAGGAGAAAGAAAATGAGGAAGGGAGGGACTGGTTACCTTAACTCAAGGATCACCACAGCCTACTACTGTTGCTAAAAGTCAAACAAACGAAACTTGTGAAGTGGAAGGAATGAAAGAATGGAATCCATTTTATTCTATTAATAGAGTTAATTTCCATTACCATTCTCCAAGTGAGGTAAGGATGGATTAGTGGTATATTTTAAAAAGATAATACAAAGCACTATAATTTTAGGAGAGAAACAAAATTAGAATGTGACCCTGAGGTAGAAAAAAAAAAAAAAAAAAAAAGAAAGAAAGATTTGTTGTACAATGCATGAGCCCTAAGAAGAAGTATTAGTTCAGACAGTATTAGCTCATCAGAAGTTAGTGGTGTCCAGGGAAATTACATGAAGGGTTCTCAATTAAACTAAAAACTAAATCAACATACATAAACATGGAGGTGGCTGCTGTACTGAGTTGTATTATGTCTAACATGGTTATGTTCTTTCTGTGATCACCAATATGTATGCAGTAGGTACAAGTTGGTTTTCCAATAGGAGGAAAAGATAAAAATGACTAGCACAAGCCTTCTGGATGAATGAATTCTGAGGCAAGGTGGATAAATAGTTCCAAAGGAAAGTGAAAGGTAAATGCTCCCAAGGAAAACCATTATCAAGAGGCAAGAAAGTACTGAGAAGAAACTGATAAGGTGACTTTTTTTTGCATTATATATATGAAGATCTTTACAGGGAGGATGTTTCCAATAGTTATATATTCAAAGTGTCATTTATTGCTAGATTCCTGCAATTATAATCTTTCGTATCATTGTATCAGTGATACAATCAGGAAGTAGGCTTTGTTTAGTAGGCTAAACAAAGGAAAGTATAATACAGGTAATTATTAATTTTTTTTTTTTTAATTTGGGTCCAAACCCAGGTTTCTGGTAGGAATACCATCATTTGCAGTCAAGCTTTGGCCCTGGGTAATTATTAAATTCTGATGAACAAGTGCCCATAAGATAGAAGAAAACTCTGTGTGATACCCTTAAGATGGAGGGAGAATATCCAAGGAAGGACAGTCTTGGAAAAGGCCCCTCCCCAAGACTACAATTAGGACTCATTAGAGAAGGTGTAGCTCAGCCCACTGGATAGACAGAAGTTTGCTGGGTGGCCCAGGTCAGAGTTGATTTGCAGTTTCTAGCCAGCTCTGGTAGCGTAGTGGCTAAGGCACTTGACTGCTAACCAGAAGGCTCACGGTTCAAACCCACCAGCCACTCCCCGGAAGGAAGATGGGGCAATCTACTTCCATAGTGATACTGCCCTGGAAACCCAAGGAGGGGTCGCTATGGGTCAGGTCTGACTCAATGGCACATAACAGGCAGTCAGGCAGGCTGAGGTCATCAACAACCAGTGGTGCAAGTATGTTGGGTGGGTAGGGCAGGGACATAGGGTAGCCAACAGGGAGACTGCAGAGGGACCA